AGACAATAAAAGACCTGAAATAACTTAGTGTGCATGAATCTAAAATATATAAATGTTCAAGTTTCATCATTACATTATTGAAAATAATGAAGTTTATCACAGTATGCTAATATTTTGAGAAGGACCTGTACTTCAATCATGATGAACCCACACCACTCTGAAAGTAATCCCGCATGGACAGTCTCTGTCATTCCCTGGGAAAGACTGCCCTCTGCTGGTAAACACCAGTAACTGCTAATAATGAAACCATACAGTGTGTAAAGGCACAACACCAACACAGCATTTTGTACATTAATAATGAAGTTTAGAGTGGATGACTTTGTTTAGTTTACAGGAGAGAAACTCACAGAGTATACAACAGGCTGGTTCTGTTAATGCTTTTCCAGGTCCTGATGGTNGTGTGTAAAGGCACAACACCAACACAGCATTTTGTACATTAATAATGAAGCTTAGAGTGGATGACTTTGTTTAGTTTACAGGAGAGAAACTCACAGAGTATACAACAGGCTGGTTCTGTTAATGCTTTTCCAGGTCCTGATGGTCCAGGAACTGATTTTTCAGGCCCTAATGGTTTAGTATCTGCTGGGTTAGTTTCTGATGGCCCCCAGGTTCCTAGTCTGGATACCAGAGACTTTGTTGCTGTTGGTTCTGATGCTGTTTATTGTTGTTCAGTAGTCAGTGAGCAGTCACACACTGATGGCATTAACACACAGATTAAACAGAGGAGGCAGGTTGTTCTCTGGAGATTTTTCTAAAAAATAAAAAGAGGAAACCAAATAAAGAGTGTGAGTCTTTTTCTCAAAGTGAGTGCCATGTTCCTGCTGCTGATGGTTGGGGTTTCTTCCTTTGATCCTGCTTACCTGTCTAACTGGTCCAGCGGCTGATAAACGCAGATCATTTCCACCTTGATCCTCTGTTATTTATGTTTTTTTGTTTTTTTTTGTTTGCCTTCCATCAGCGGCAGGTTAACTCTGGCGTTCTAAATGTTGTTCTGTTTTCCTGGTTGGAATCTCTTTCTGCCCTGTGGATCCCGGGTTTTGCTTTGCCTCTGTCTGCTCTGTTAGTCTGATCTGTTCTGAAATGATTCCTGGATTTATCTTCTGAACCTGGACCTGTCTTTAAATATGGATTTCCCCTTAAATCGGGCAAGTGATCGTTTTTGGTAACTCGCGCTCCACTAAGAGATTGAATAACTCCTGCTCTCCTGTTAATTCCATGGTTTATATCCATCCAATCAGCAAAGATCTAACTACGTGGTCGTGCTCATCCTTTTGGCATTTGACCAATCAGATGAGATCTTGGATGCAGCAAACTTCCTCATTCTGGAGAAGCAGGAAAAAATTCCGGTCTTGGCTTGGAAACCGTCCAAATTTACGGTGATAAGTAAACAAACCATTGTCAGTCACTGCAAGTCACACATTTTAGTGTTGAATTGTTGTGTAAAGTGATGACATGTTTGTTATATGCTGAGGAATTGAAGAAATTAGTGAAATTAGAGCATGGTAATTATAGGCGCCCTCTTACGCCCTCTGGTGGTAAATACAGGAGTTGATACGTTATTACTCCTTTTGGACATATACCCTATGCAAGTACTTACTGCATCTTCTTAAAAAATGAAGCAGTGCCACTTAACATATTATAATAGAATGTTGCCAAGAGTGTGTATAATACATCAAATTATTCAATTAGAAGTCCAGAATATTGGGGGATTTTGGAGGGGTATTTTTATTTTCCAATCGTAGTTGTTTTATCAGTTATTAAAGTAAATAAGTGTGATTTCAGTCAGTTGTATGATCTAATAACAGTTTTTTTAAAAAATATTTTATGTATTATTGCAGTGAAAAGTGGTATTTTTTTTTCAGTTTAATATCCTAAAAAAAAAAGGACTATGTTTTTGCAGTGAATATGGTTAATCTTTGTCAGTTTTATTACCTAATAACAGTTGTCTGACTTTGACAGTCTCCTCCACCATAACGTCTGCCATCTTTGCAGACAACTTCTTCACCAGTCTGGAGCTTGTGAGGTACTTCCGAGACTAGAACTACAGGTACTGTTGACTGTACTATACGCACTGTATGCTAATAAAGAAAGCTTCTCTTTTCTTTCCTTCTCTAGGTACACGGGGACAACAGGATTCAAAACCCTCCAATCAAGTCATCCAAGGAGATGAAGAAAAATGTGCCTCTTGGTACATATGACTATGTCGGCAGTGACGGTGGAATCTTGGTCGTCAGATGGAAGGACAACAAAACGGTGACTCTGCTGTCAACAGACATAGGGGTGGAGCTATGAGGTACTGCCATGAGACAGAGAGGAAGGAGTCTGTGAGCTGTCCAGCTGTCATTAAGAGTTACAATGCCAACATGGGGGCATTGATAAGAATATGTTGGTCTACCTTTACCGTACCCCCATGAAGTCCAAGAGGTGGTACCTGCCATACACCATTGATTTTAGCCTCTCACATGCCTGTATTGTCTACAAGCGGGACTGCAAGGCCCTTGATATGAATGCCATGTCTCTGAAAGATTTAAGAATCAACGTGTTCATGAGTGCCATTAGCCTAAGGTCAATATATCCCGGAGAAGCTCATCATGTTCTTCTGACCACCAATTACTATATTCCCCCTGCAGTCTGAGTACACCACAGCAACACCCAAATTATGCAGTGCGATCTGATCTGTCCCTCTTCCATGTCCCTGTCCATGCCAAACGCCAGACCTGCGAGTTTTGCAGCAAACAAGGAAACACTGTGAGGTCAAATGTGGTCTGCAAGGTCCACCTCTGTCTGAAAGCTGAGCGTAACTGCTTCAAAGACTACCACTAGTAATCTAATGTTTCCTGCTGTTGCGGGATATGTTACCTGGTATACATTAAGTTAAAAGAATTTAATAAGTTATTACGTAAGTTAAAAAGTTTATAATTTAAATAAAAACCCTAATAGGCCAAGTGGAAATACTGAAAAGTACGTACATTTTAGTGCACATGTTAAAACTAATGTTCGGGGTTGTATATTGCTGCAAAATATGTATTTATTTCACTCTGTTTTGCATGATTTTTCTTATAGAAGAACAATTTGTAATATCTTTTTACCATATCATGGCAATTGACTGTTTTTGGTAATGTTTGGCATGAAAATTATTATTATTATTTTATTTTTTTTATTGCTACAGAAGTAATGTCTTGTTCTGTCCTCCTACAACACTCTTGGCTTAAAACCTTTAATTTCAAAGTATTTCAATGAGTGCCCTGTATAGGGTTAAGGACACTGTTGCTGCTCGGCATCGGCTGGCGCCTGCTCTGCTCTCTGTCTCTAGGAACTCTTGTAGGGCGTCGCCCACCACAAACTGGTGATTTACCTCGTGTTTGGATTCAACACTTTCCTTCTGGATCGAACTGAACTTTGAATCAGGTCAGTGACTTTTGCTCCAAGTCGTGATCAGCCCGACAATCGAGTCACTGACCTGTATTTCCTATTTCTGCAGAGATTCTCCCTGCAGGTCTTGTTTTGTTTAATAAATGCTTTGAACTTTCCCACTGCCTGTCTTGCCTTTAATTCTGGGTCCAGTGTTCTGAGTTCATTACAGTGTTAGCAGTGAGGTGACAGTGAAGGTAATGAGGAGAGTGATGTGGATTCTCTGGCCTCTTTACAGACTCACAAGAAGAGTGGATACTCGTTAAAAAGTAATAGGAGTTTTTTCCTCTGAGAACCCAGGAAGTCTAAAATGTTAAAGTAGAGAAAGTGTTTCCATGTTTGCAGCTTAAAATTACAGATCATCATGACCTACAACACAACAGACTTAGTTGAAAAAGCTCTTTTTTATGGTTACTTTTAGTCAACTTAACATTGTTTTTGTCTGAAAAATACACATAGGCAAGCTGCTTTTTTCTGACATGAAGTTGCAGCAGAAAATCATCAAAGAAACATTTGTTTTCACCCAGGACTGTTTCATAGAAGTCCAAATTTAATTTTTTTGGAGTTTCACTTAAGAGTGGAAACACTGTATAATTCTGTGTGGTTTAAAAATACAACAACAAGAGACCACGTTTTAAAGATATTTACACTAAGATATACTTTCAGATGAACATTAAACTGCACATACAAAATATAAAATGAACACGGGTAGGTACATCAACAGTGTGTATTATAATGAAAATACCAACGCACAAATGCCACCAAAACAGACAAAATATTATACATTATGTATTAAAAGCCACTTAACCAAGGAAATGTTTCAAAATATCTTGAAAATTTAGCTTTTTTTAATTGCACTTCAAAAATCTATTGTCACATAAATGTAAGTTTTCATTCATTGCTCAAAAGTTTTCATTTCGATCATGAGAGCAGAGCTCTCTGGATCCTCAGTTATTTGTGAGAACGCTGATTCTTTGGCTTTTTCAATTTTCTTCCTCCTCCAAGTGAAATATTGAGACACACCTATTAATAGCAGAAATACCACAGTGGCGCGCAGTCCTAAAACAGGCAAAGTGGACAGACCTGTTTGAAGACACAAAATAACACCTTAACTGGTTTGGAGAGTGAAAGTTTTAAAGACTTGTAAAGGGCAAACATGACATTTTAGTGTTAGAAGACCTAAATATATATATATATATATATATATATATATATATATATATATATATATATATATATATATATATTTGTTTCAGATAAAGAAAAGCCTCATTACAATTTTATTTTGTATGATGACAGTCTATAAGGCTTAAATATTCATTTTCTGGTGGACTTTTGCTGAAGCAGCTACATTTTAGCAAAAACATACCCAATGGATATATTGGTAATAATTACAGAAAGACATCAAAGCATTCATACTGTATCGAGCCAACTCTAAAACAAGCGTTTGTGAGATTTTTATATAAGTAAAGCAAATCTCTTCTTCACTAATTTCTTATATTGATTTAAATCTAGATTGATACAGAGCGATAAATATTGACCATCTGGTTGTCTTATTGTATATTATGATTTTACTCACCACAGCCAGATATGTTTATCTGATTGAAGGAACTGCTAATCTGATTTTTGACAAAGCAGGCCAAATTTCCTGAGATGTTTCCTCTCAGAATTATGATGTTACTCTCATTATTTCTTGAGAAAATTTCTGAGTCTGTCAGTGGATATCCATTCAGCATCCAGCTGTACTGGGGACTGTCCCCTTCACAGAGACAGGACACCTTCCTCTGTCCTTGGGACAAACACGTCAAGACCAGCTGGACAGATGACACAGGAGCTGAGAGAAAGACCCAAGAAAGATTAGCAGATTATTCAAATATCAAAACAGGATTCAAGTTATTTTTTGCTTATCTGGTGAAAAGAGTTTGAAAAGTACAAACTACACAAGCTGTGACATATTGGATAAAGAAGAGGTAAGCCTAGGTTTTGATTTTTTAAGCGTGTAAGCAAACCCCCCTCAAAAACCAGTACATTACCTTGAACATAGAACTGAAGGGTTCTCTGTCCTATTTGTCTTCCACCTTTATCAAACATTTCAAGTTTATAATGACCACTGTCCGTCCTGCTCAGGTCCTTAATCCTAACTGTTCCATTGTTAGGAAAAAAGAGAACTTTGCTCTCTTTCGCACGAAATAAAATGTTGTTATTTATCCACCTGAGTATTACTGACTGGTCCTTTGTCCAATGGAATCTGGGGATTGTAGAGACATTTTCCACCAGTTGAATGTCCACTTTACTTCCAAAAGCTTCATAACACTGTGCTCCATCCTGTCTCCCATCACAGATCATTTTCACACCTAAAATTGACATTTATCACAATACTGAGAACAACAATAACAAAATGTTACATTCATCTTAAACAAGTCATCACTCTGTACAGTTTCAGCAAGCATTTACTGTCAAACAGTTGACCTTGAAACTGAGCTATGATGGGAAAAACAGCTGAAACCTTGTCGGAGACAAACGGCGGGGGACGTCGGAAAATAATGGAGGATTATACTTACTGTATATGAGGCTCTAAATCTGTAGACTCACTTCAACCTGTGATGCAGGTTCTAAGACAGCCGTTTCTAGCATCTCGCAACCAAAGATAACCCTAATTATAAATCTAGGTCTGATATTTAAGATTCAACATTTCTTTATTTGTCACCCAGTCTAGAGTGGCACTCCAGTTGGGCAAAATTTCAGTTTCGGTACAGCCAAGAAAAGACAAAACACACAGACATTATACAGACACGGGTGACCAAGGCCTTGCTGCCGTAAAAAGGCGAAAGACTATCAAACAGTGTGACAGATGCTCTGATCAACCAATAGGAATGCAACTGCTACTGGTTTTGTAATACTTAAAAATTTCATAGAGAAGATGAAAGCAAGATGTTACTGTATGTTTCTAGGATTTTTATAGAAGAGAAGCATGAGTTAGCCAGAATGTCAGATATCAGTTTAAAAAAAAAGAGTAGTAGCCCTCCTTGTTTAATGTAAATATAAGGATGTATAAGATGAGAATTATTTTTTTTTAGTATGAGAATCATCTAACACACTGAGCTGCAACAAGGGTTAGGGAGGAATGTAGACCTAAAAGCTGCTTAAAAGATGTCAATTTAAAGGATAACATCTGCTAAAATATAGTTTTTAAATTTGCATAATCCAATGTGTCATCAACTGTATGGCTGGGATTTGTTTGCAAAGTTTTGTTAAGGCAAATTAGTTTCAGGTCCAAACACAAGGAAATATACAGACTTACATATATATCCAAAAAACTGATGAGGGGCAGAAGAGACTACAGGTTCCAAGTGGTGCTGCCGTACAAATAAAGAGGCAAGTAATATGTTTTTAATTTCTTATATGATTCAAGTGACAGATAACCTGTCCTGTCTGCTACCATCATACAAACTTGTCTCATCATAGCAAAAAGCATGACAACGTACAGCATCAGCCAGAGCTGCAAAAGAAAACCATCTTCATCAGCTGGGTCCTTTGCAGATTGCAAACCATTAATAAACCGGTGAAAGTTTCGATCGTATTTCCCTCATTGGTTCTTCCCTTTTGGACATTTGGAGTTTCTTTTCGAGTTTTAAGTTATTTATGTCATTCTGTTTTGTTGGTCATCGGTTTCTTTTCTGTTTTGTGTTATATTTAAGCTGTGTTGCATTTTTTGATTTACTCTCTGTTGCCCCCTAGTGCCAATCTCTTTTTTCCTTTGCTCATTCTAGTTGCTTCTGTTTACACTACTCCCTATCAGATAATCAGTCCTCTCATTATTTCTCCCATATGTACACCTCCTGATCAGTTACTGTTTGCTGGTTTCTCATTGTTAACTTGGCTCCTCATGTGTTGGCTCCTCCCCCTGTTGTCTCTTGGATTTTTTGGTTTTCTGCATTCTGTTCTTGGATTATTTTCCTGTTTATCATTAAATAGGTAAATACTCATCTGTGCCTCCTCATCTCTGCATGTGGGTCCTAAACCAGCTTACACTGCCTACGCTGACAGGCTGCCTTTACCTAAACTAATCATTTTGGCTTGCAAATTTGATTACATTTGTTAGTACTTGCTGATAAAGATGCTTATTGTCATGCATAGTAGGCTATTTTATAGTGAATGGCGAATGCACAACATGCACCCATTAGACTTGACATTGTACAAAATATTATTAAACCCACATCACCGATTGTGCCAGGGAATACTGTTATAAAACTGCAAAAATCATACAGTGTTGGGACCTTAAGAGTCTGAATGAGAACAAAGCACAGAAAGGTCCAGAATCAGACCTTCTAACTGTGATATGACAGTCTAAGGACTGGGAATCCAGTGATGGTCCAGTATCCTTAAAATATTACAGTACTTGATATGTTTTTAAACTAAGAATCAGATAACAAAAAAGTCTCTCTTGTGATAGGTGTGTGGAAAATCTATTTATTCCTCAACATATTACCTTTACTAAAGACATATATAAACTTAATTTTACTTTTATATAAAACATAACATTTATCTAGATACAGCATTTGCTTCGAAGTCCTTCCTTTTAATAATACAGTCATTCAGTTATGTTCTATATAAAGTGAAACTGCAACGCTTTGGTCTGAGAGCAACTTATTTTGGTGCGGTGTCGAAATACCAATGAGACCTTTTTCACCTTCCATCTGCACAATTTGCACATATCCAGCTGTAGCTTCTGCATTGAGCTTGGAATAATATTTCTCTATGACAATTAATAATGCAGAATTCCAAGATGTGGTGTAACAATAGCACAGCTGTGACTTTATGAAAAAAAAAACAAATAAACAAACAAACAAACACGTAAAAGGGAATTGAGGAAACTATGAATTGAAAAAAAAAGACTCCTGTGAATTTACAAACATGGACAGAATTGTTAGAGCCCCTTATTTTATAAAAGGAAAATCCACAATGGTCACAGAAATAACCTGAATCTGAATAATAAAGTCAAACCTTGCTTTTCCACCTTGTTTTTGAATAATAAACAAATGAAACAGGCCGGGTCAAAATAACTTAATATTTTGTTGCACAGCATTTTGAGGTAATCGCTGTAATCAAACAACTGATGTAACTGTCAACTGGACTTCTGCTCCTCTCAGCAGGTAATGTGATCTACTACTCATGAAAAAAATATTCCAGCTGTCTCAGTTTTGAAGAGTGCCTTAATCAGATGTTATTTTTGGCTCTGAAAAAAAATGTTCAATAGGATCATGGAAAGTCACTTCAGAAAAGTCCAGTGTTTTCCTCTTAGCCATTCATGGGTGTTTTTTACCTCTGTCTTTTGGTTCATTATCCTTTTGCAAGACATATGTAAGTCCCTTTATTGCCCCACAATGGAGACATCCATTCTCTGTATTTTGACCCATTCCCTTGGGAAGCATTGGGCTGCCACTGTGTGGTGCCCGGGGAGCAGTGTAGGGTCCAGGGTTTTGCTCAGGAACCCAGGGTGGAGGCTGTGGGGATCGAACCGAGTACTTGCAACCTTCTCACTGCTCTAACCCCTAGGCCAACACTCCCCCCATGCAAATGACATGCAAATAAGAGTGGGCACAATATTTCTTCCTAGAATCCCTAAATAATATTAAGATTTCATTGTACCATGCAGATTTAAGATGTCCATAGGACATTTTCTCCCAGAAGCTTTGTGATTGTTGACATAGTTTGGAAAATTATCGTCTATCCTTTTTATGATTTGTGTTTTAAACAAAAAGGGTGCAAGCACTCAGCTAAGGAAGCTCTAGTGATTGACGTTTGTTTTTGAGTTAGGGGCGTAGTTGATGACTTCATGCCTGCCAACGTACCTTTAGCCCTCCTTGCTTGTCGTGCTTTTTGGCACCCTATTATTATGGTTGATTTTTGCCAATGACATGCTGTCACAATGTTTTAGCTAATCAGTAGAGCCCAGCTTATACAGTAGGTCATGAAATGAAAAACACTCAGAGTAGCTTTAGGCTCTGATGGACTTGCTTGCCTGACTCAGGTCTGCTGCTTTACGTAATTTCCACAACCAGTGTTTTGTCGGGTAGAAGGGATAATCAGAACCCCAACGGCCAAACTGCCTCTTCTCTCCTTACTATGGCTCAGGTCACACGGTAAATGGGCTCACAAGCATAAGCAATGTGATTTAGATGACTGAGTGTCACTTCAGCTTTGTCTTCCATCATATTAAATTTTATCAATATATTAAACTGCTAGCTAAACCATTAACCAATCTCATGACATGACCGCTTAAAGTAGTGCAAAACTGATGTAAAACACAATCTTGTGAATTAAGTTAGTTTGGTTAACCCTTTCATTTGTACTTTCCCTTTCTTGCCTATAATTTTTTTTCTGATCTCAATAGACAAGTCTTTATTTTGCATCCTATGGTCCATGCTAAAGGTATTGTGGAGGATGTTCACAAATTTTTTGCACGAGCCCATTTCTCCTCGTGGACACTTTGTTTAAAAGTTGCTTATCTCATAGCAAATACAGGCTTACTGTGCCCGAACGTCCGCTCTAACCCCTGAATCCCTCAATCACTATATAGAGTGCTTTTTGCTGCGTTGGTCACATAACTTGTCCTTCACTGCGCGGTGCCTGCAACATCTTTGTTATTGGTTGCCACAGTGGGTCGCTGGGAATGCAAATCCCATAGTGCTTTGCAAGGCACTATGGGCTATATCTGCCTCCTCTGAGGCCTTTTTTTCTCTTTTTTTACACTTCGTAGACAATTTTTCTCTAACGACCCACAGCCAATTTCAAAGCACCCTGGTGAGAAAGGTGAGCTGTCTGAAACCGTAGCTCACCACAGATATACGCCTGAAAGTGTGCATGCGCAGAAAAAGATAGCTAACAGGACAAGCATGTAGGACGGCCTTCTGAAAACATATCACCAGAATGATTAACAATTAGGAGGACCACTTATCTAGATGATCCACCCGTAAATAAAAGATTGTCCTCTTTACCTTAAAGTGTGGTACACACCATGTCTCTAACAGCACAGTGACTACGTCTAGCCCTATATATACGCCCACTGACTGATTACAACATTGTAGAAACCTATAAAGCTAATTAGTAGAAATGCATATCGCTTTTTTATCCAAACCTGTTTTATGCCAGTTCAATATACTTCTTTGACTATTGTGTTTTTTTTTCTGTTTTTTTTTTTAAATCAAATGAGGGATTCCAACAATTTTGTCCATGTGTGTATAAAGCAACCGGAGAGACTAAATTTAACTTATCTTAAATCCTTGAGACTCCAAGTATGCAACAAAATTTAATTAAGGGCTAAAAATGTTTGAAACAAAATTTAATTTTCCATGTACAAAACATGTTTTTGTTACCCAAGTTAAGCTCTTACTACAGTAACGCATCCACTTAGATGTGTGAAGTTCATAAGCAAAGTCATTTTGTATAATGTTCTCACTTACCACTGCCAGAGAGGTTTATCTGTTTGAAGGAATGACTGATCTGATTTCTGACTGAGCAGGCCAGAATTCCTGAGATATTTTGTCTTAGAATAATTATGTTATTCTCATTATTTCCAGAGAGGAACTCAGACTCTGGGAGTGTGTGTCCATCCAGTGTCCAGCTGTACTGAGGACTGTCCCCTTCAGAAAGACAGGATACCTTCGTTTGTCCCTGGAACCACCACTCAGAGACCAGCTGGGCAGAAATGACAGGAGCTGAGAGAAATAAAATCCACACAGAATAGTCAAATATTAAAACCAAGCATAGGCTATTTTTGACCACTTGGTGGACATTTGGAAAGTTATTGAATACACATATAGCATATTTTATGTACAGTAGATGTTTAAATGAGTGACCTTTGACAGTTTATTTTATAAGAAGGAAAGATAAAGAACTTAGAAAATATAAGTTGATTACCCTGAACAAACAGCTGCAGCGTTCTAAATCCTGTTTCCTTCCCATATTTATCAAACATGTCAAGTTTATATTGACCACTATCAGTCCTACCCAGGACATGAATCCTAAGTGTTCCGTTCCCGGGAAAAAAAAACAATCTGCTCTTTTCTATGCTTAATATAATGTTGTTGTTTCTCCATATGAGTATCACTGAGTTGTTCTTTTTCAACTGGAATCCAGGAATATTTGAGGGGCTGTCCACCAATGTAAGGTCCACCTTTCTTCCCAGAGCTCCAAAACATTGAGCTCCATCCTTTCTCCCATCACAGGAAGGTTTCACACCTTAAATGACAATAATAATAATACCAGTTATGATTATTATTAAAATAACAAAAAATATCTTGTATTTGTTTCAAGAAGTTGTCAGCATGCATTTACTGTCAAACAGTTGAGGTTAAAACTGATAATGGGTTACACAGCTAGGATCTTAAAACAGCAGATAACTGTTTAGCTTATTTATTCAAGACAGAAAGGACAGATATACTGTAGTTGAAGGGGTAATGTGATGCTTATCTTAGTAAAGGTTTGTGAACACCTCATGTCACCAGTTCTTACATGACCACAACAGAAACACACAAGGAAACATTTACTAGTATCTGTCATAATAAAAAAAAAGTTTAATAGTAAATTTTATGAAATCTTTCATATATATAATTCAGTGGTTATTTAAAATAGTGGACAATAGGGAAAATTCAAGATATTCCTTACATACAGGCTACCATTTACACAGTGTCACACCCACTAAGATGCATCGCATGAAAAATATCAAGAGGTTTTATCACATTCTCACTCACCACAGGTAAATAAGCTCATCTGCTTGAAGGATTGACTGATCTGATTTCTGACTAAACAGGCCAGAAGTCCTGAGATGGTTCTTCTAAGAATAATGGTATTATTCACATTATTTCTAGAGAAGATTTCAGAGTCTGTCAGTGTGTGTCCATCGAGCGTCCAGCTGTATTGAGGACTGTCCCCTTTCTCAGAGAGACAGGACACCTTCATACGGCCCTGGGACAAACACTCAGAGACCAGCTGGACAGAAGACACGGGAGCTGAGAAAAACCCAGAAAGATAAATTTAAATATGAAAATATTGGCTAAGTTTTACTATCTGTTAGGAGCTGGAAAAGTACAGAATGCACATACAATTACATAAGCACAAAGATTTAATAGAATATACAACAACAACAATTTTAGATTTCTTATAACACAACATTTATAAGGAGAAAAACAAAACAAAAAAAAAACTATTAAGGTTCAACCTTGAACACACAGATGTAGAGTTTTAAAAAGTATATGGTTAATAAAGTAAGGATTTGTTGAATATTTTCTTTGATCCAAATGGATTTGAAAATATAAAATCTAATAAAAAATATAGTTATAGATCCTTATTAAATCTTGGAATTAAACCGTTGAATGTCATGCAGATAATTTAAAAAAAGCTACATGTTTTTTTTTACGCATTATCAAGATTAAAAAAATGGACTGTTTGAAAAAAAGAAACCATTATATCATAAATGATGCAAGTCTTTTAAACTGGTTAAATAGTAATTAAAAATACCTAGTTTGAAAGTGATGTCCAAAATTTTTTAATAAAGTTCAGAGCAATTCAGGAAGTTGTGTGTTTTTGTCTAGTATATTCTTTACAAAGCCAGTTTTGCTGTGTACCTCATACCTATGTTCACACCTAACGCGATTTGAGCAGCAGAAAGGCACCAAGCACCTGTTGCTTCATTTTTTATGATGTTCACATTAAGTTCAGACGCACCTCAAGAGCATCTTTGATGCTCCTGAAGGGAATCCAGTATGATGTGTACAAATGCACTTATGCTTGTGCTGCCCCTGTACTCAATGGCAGAGAGCTGCTTTGCTATACTATGATAAGTGGGTAAAAAGTAGTTTTAATATGTTTTTAAGTGAGACATTACACCTCGTAAATTGTCTGCGCAGTCTGTTCATCGAGTTATGATCCTGCCTTAAAATATTATTTCTCTGCTGGAGCTGTGCAGACTCCAACATACCGGCGGTGCGTTGTCACAGGAAATCCCTAGCAACATCTACCTCAGGCCACGTCGCCTCTTGGGGGATTTCTGCTACTGTTTGTGGCGGGTGGAAGTAGGTGTTAGCATTTTTCATCTACTTTATACAAACTGCGCACACCAGAATAATAAAAGCAAATATATTTTGCTGATAAGTTTAATAATTTTAAGTTTAAGTTTTCAACATTAATAAACTGTTTCAGACTAGTGATTATAGTGATCCGCATCACCAGTACTGTATCTGTCTCCCTGCCATCTCCCAGATCAGTTTCTCTGATTCGTAGATGTGGCGCGTCGAGCAGCAAAAGTTTAATTTTTCATGCACCTCAGATGCTCAAATGCATCAAGATGCTATTTGAGCTGATTTAACAAATAAATTTCTCCACTGTGAGATCAATAAAGTCAATCGATCAATCAAGGTGCTGCTCAACACGTGCTGCAGGGCCTTTTGAGGAGCCTTGATGCTCGTTAACCACAGACTTTGCATGTAAACCTGCTGCTTCTGCTGCTCAAAGTGGCTGCGGTGTGAATGCAGCATTAGAGTATGTAGAGCAAAAGGCTGCTTATTATTGAAAGAAAAGTGTGACTGTGTGGGGAAAGATCTCAAATAGTTATACTAATTTTTTGTAAACAGAAACATTTTACTCGAGTAAGAGTATCATTGCATCTAAGCATTTTAAAATACATTAATATGAAAAATATACTATTTGGTTCAAATTAATTTCTCTCAGGAAAGACAGAAGGGATATTTTGTTATGTCCTCTTACCAATTGTAGTATGTCTGATTGTTGGATAGACTGTTGTTACTTCAACATCCTGGGTGTTGTTTACTTTATCCACCAATATATCTGTTTGTGTCCTATTGGAGGTGCAGTTGATTTTAAAGCCTGGAAGAAAATAAGTTATAATCATAAGTCTGGTAGAGGTCGTATAATCAATCTGTTAATTGTCTGTTTCTAACTCACCACTGTCAGATATGTTAAAGTAGTTCGAGGAGGAACTAACTTGATTCCTAACTGAGCAGACGAGACGCCCTGAGATGTTCTGTCTCACAACGATGATGCTAGTCTGATCATTTCCAGAGAGGAGTTCAGAGTCTTTCAGTGTTTTTCCATCCAGAGTCCAGTTGTACTGAGGACTGTCCCCTTCAGAGAGACAGGACACCTTGATCTGTCCCGGGGACAAACATTGATGGACCAGCTGGACAGAGGATACAGGAGCTAAAAGAAAAAGATGCCACTGAATAAATTTCATTAATTTTTATACTAATCTTTGAAATATTAAACTGAATATTTATTATTATTTACTTATTGTTTTAAAGTTGTGGTGATGCGGAACACTCAGAAACATGTTGTGTAATTATCTACATTTGTATGTAAGTAGAATATTAAACATACCTTACTGTAACACCATCAAAGTATACAAAATGGAAGCTAAAGTGGATTACCTTGAACACATAGATGAAGAGTTCTATTTCCTGTTTCTTTTCCACTGCCATCAAACATTTCAAGTCTGTATTCACCACTGTCCCCCGTTTTTAGGTCATCAATCCTAAATGTTCCATCACTAGGCAAAAAAAGAAATCGACTCTCTTTTTGACTAAATACAGTGTTGTTTTTTCTCCACCTTAGTATCACCGAGTTGTTCTTTGTCAGCTGGAAAAGTGAAATTTGAGAGATGCTTTTCACCAGGGAAAGTTCCATATTTTCTCCTAAAGCTCTATAATATTGAGCTTTATCTTGTCTGCCATTGCAGGAAGGTTCCACTGCTTAAAAAAGAAAAAAAAATTCAATGAGTGCTTAAAGTCCACAAGAGGGAGAATAACAAGTCATGTCATATATAAATAACCTCCTTTCTCTTGTTTTCATGGTTTCAAATTGAAAAATTAAGGAACAAATAACACAGATTAAACCAGTCAACTCTTCATTTAAATAGTGACTACGGATGAGTTGCAGGATTCCATTTTAGTTTTAATTCTGCTTGCATGTGAACAAAGTCCATAAAAATATTACTGATGCACAACATTTTATGCTGATGACACGGTTACCATTGTGGCTTGGTGTCTGGTTTGGTCTGGTCTGACTTGCTTCAGCTGAGACTAGTCCTAAATGCTGTTAAAATTAAGGTTTACGTTTTATAAGATTTTACTCTTATAGAAACATGGACAGATACACTCTACAAGGGACTTTGGTATTTAAAAATATACAAGTACCTTGGTATAAAAAATGACAATATGCCCTACTTCGAATCGTGCTGAAAATTAAAAATTCTTTGACAAGTTACAGTAGCATATACAACTAAAGACTGCCTACCTTTGGTTACATGTACCAAACTTTTACTATTAAAAATTAAACAACAGTCATTATGTGTCACAGAAAAAGAAAAAAAACCAAAATGAAAAAGTGCTATGTCAAAAAATGAGAAGAGCTCACCACCACAGATGCCTATCAGCATCAACTGCAGTCCAATCATAGCATTCATGTCTCTTTACAGCTGAGTTGTTTTGTTGTTTAGTACATGTTAAAAGTATAAACATCTACTAAAGTACATATTGTGCTCTACTACTGATTACCCTCAGAAGATCAACAGCACAAATGGCTTTTGTTAAGAGGAGACATAAAGGAAGGAAACTCAGTAAAACCAAACCTAAAAAAGGCCCCTTGCTGAAGATACCTTCCTCCTTTAAAGTTCTGCATTTCTCTCTGATCATATCACATTATGGTGTGATCAAAAGGTTTATGATCAAAAGTAGCCTTATAAACTTAAGCAGTCTGTGGTAAATTTCCCATTAATAGAAATTACTGTTAACCTGCAGAAATAACAGAAAAGTTTTTAGAAAAAGGCTGACATTAATTGTTGAATTGTAGTTTAAAATCTAATCTTATTGAGCAGGTTGAATGCTATGATGATGTTGCAACACATCAGCCAGCTTGATTCACGAGAGGAAATCTGTTTTTATTTTGATGTGGAAACTTCATCATCTGAAAAAATTAAGCTATGGTCCGGCTCAATGCACTATTTTAATAAACTTAATATCTGTTAGGAACACACTGTTATATCAATTGTGTAGGAAGCAATAGCAAGAGATAATTTTAACAACCATGCAAAATGCCAGGAGGCAAGTGTATCAAACTAATTTCCATCTCACTCATGGGGCAATAGAGCATACCAAATGGTCTTAAGCATCATGGAAACAAGAGGCAGGTCAGTCCTATTGACTGCTACATTACCAGAAGGATAGCTGTCCCAGCAACTGAAATTAATACAGATATAAATTTAACAAACACCTTGCGACTAGAAGAAAACCAGAGACAGACCTTAACCATTGCATATCAACTATAAATTCTTTATAGAATTTCTGTCTGCACAGAGTCCGTGCTGAGGGGCATGGAAGCCCAAAATTACGTGATTTGGCAGCACGGACCTCATGGATGCATCAAGCATAAACCAAGCTTAAGGGTATACAGTAGAGGACAATGTTTTATTTCTGGCTGGATCATCTAAATAAGTGGTCCTCCTAATTGTCAATCATTCTGTTGATGCGTAAGGCCGTCCTACGTGCTCATCCCCTTAGCTATCTCTTTCTGTTTATGCGCACTTTCAGGCGTATATCTGTGGTGAGCTACGGTTTCAGACAGTCATTGAAGCACACCTTTCTCACCGAGCTTCTTTGAAAATGGTCGAGGGTCGTAAGAGTACAAGTGTCCTTTTTTTTGCCTGTGTAAAATTGTATGAGCAGAAAAGAAAGGCCTCAGAAGAGGTAGATATATCCCAGGATACTTTGCAGAGTTCTCCTCGCAAAGCGCTATGGCTTAAACCGGAATAAGAGCCAACTTTCTCTTAGTTTTTTGAAGACGTTCCAACACCTATCCAGGAGTTTTTGCTTTGACTCAACATTGTAAGCATCCAACTTACAATCGAGGGCATATTTTGGACTTGGTCATCAGAAAAGGTCTAAATATTTCTAATGTTCCGTAGGTGATTTTGCCCTATCAGACCATTTTTTGTTTACTTTGAAACCCTTTTTCCCAATCATCTAATCACCAAAAATTATGTTATAAAAAAATTTACTGTAATGGACAGTACAATTGAAAACTTTACCCAGGCTTATCCTTCTGCTTCCACCATACCATGTAACTCAGTAGATGAGCTTATTGATAATGTCCATTCTAAAGCTGCGGACATCATTGATTAAAGGACTAATGTCCAGGCAGGATCTAGAGAAGATAATTCATGCATCTTTAGTAGGATAGATTATTACTGCAACAGTGTGTTCATAGGTTTGTCTATAAGGTCTGCCAGACAGCTGCAGCTGAGCCAAAACACTGCCTGTGTTTTCATTATAACTAAGAAGGTTCTTAGTCCTGACACGGGCTCCCTGTAGAACAGAGAATAGACCTTAAAATCCTTCTGTTAGTCAATAAATCACTGATGAAATAATGCTAGATGAAGTATTATTTCAGCTTTACAGAAGTTAATGATCTATCTTCATCATGGCTGCTGCACGCATTGAAGCTAAAGCTCTTCATTTGAACCCGGGTCAGGCCGCGTTGAGGACTAAGGGCTCCATACATGGGTTGTGTGCATTAACCACTGCGCCACCGAAGCACGCTCCACTACAACAGGTCTATGCCTGCATAATCATCACAGGGCATTGGCGCTGTTCATGTCATAGGTTTTCAAGTATGCAAAGCTCCACGCTAGCCATCGCAGCGAGACCTTAGGGTGTTTAGTCTTGTGGGACTATTCAAATGGCTCCCATTAACATGGCATAATTTACTCCGTTAACCAATTCATTTCTTACGGGTTTAGCTCCATCCTCAGGTCTTGGGAGATATTTCTTGCATCCGCACCTACCCTCCTTAAACATTCAATGTTCTCTTTGCCTATAAGTGGGCATGATCAGCAGTGACTGGTGATGGTAAGCCTTATTTTCCTTATCTCCATATTGCGCTTAGTTTTCTTTTCTCAATGTCTCCAGTATTAGTAATCCTTCCTAATGTGCAATAAACCGCTTTCCCCTTTTTTCTCGATCAGTCTCTCTCCGTTTCCCCATCTCTTACACTGCGTCCCACCGCATCATCTCTTTTCATCTGCCTCTATTACAGTGCGATTAACTGCGCTGCATTTCCCTTTCATCAGTGTGACCAACTGCACTACTCAGCATGACTGCACATGACTGCACAGCTCTGCCTCTCTTCTAGTTTATATAAAAAAAAACAATCTGATAACAGCAGAACACTTTTTTCTAACAGTATAAACTCATCCTCGTTATGATGCTCTCTTCCACACAGACCAATGTAGTAAATGTGTCAGGTCTCCTGTTTTGTGTCTGTGTTTTCTGTGTTTGTCTCCCTTCATCCACCAGGAGGCGCCTGGTTGTGGTCCGCCTCCTCACACACCTGCGGATGGTTTCCTCATTTAACGGAGTGTTCTTAAGCTGCTGACTGCCACTACTTCGAGGCCAGAGTGTTTGCCAGTTTAGGGTACTCTAGCCAAGGTGAGTTTGCTGAGTCAAGCTGAGTTTTTGTCAACCTGATTTTAACTTTGTTTTGTCTTTGCCTCTTGGCAGGAAGATGTCCTGCTAGCTGGATCTCTCGGACCTTTACACCCTGGAAGGATAAACTGAGCTTCAAACTGAGCTGGGATTCAAACAGGAGGTTTGGATCCACTTTCCCCAAGAGATCGTTTGAGCTTTCACTAAGAAAGGGATTGTTCTCCACAATGACCTGTTCAAGAACAACAGGAAATCTGAGTGGCAGTCAGTATCTCCGTTCTCCGACTATCAACCGCAGACCAACACTGGAACCACAGCACACAGACACGAGTCAAGAACACAACAACTTCACTGGAAACGTGAGTTGGCAACCAAAACCTCTTCTCCAAGTTTCACGAGTCCAATTCCCCACTGAGCCTGAACTAACCGCTCTGTCTTCCCCTCACTTTGCAGTTCCGGTCGAGGAGTGTTCAGAGCAACACTTCTCCACCTGTTTACTTCTTCAATAAACCCGTTAAACCTTTTACCTGGACTCTCTGTTCGGTTTTCTGCATTTTTGGGTCAGAACTTTGAAACATCATGACAAAATGTTGTTCTTTAACTGTTTAACTAAGCTAATGAGAATCAAAAAAGGCTGCTGATATCAAAGTGATGTACCTGCATACCTGTTGTTAAAAAGGGCTTACCATTTTCTAGATTATTTTTCATTCTGAGTT